TCTCCTCAGGTATGTAGTATCTACAATGGCCATATTTCATCCTTAGACTTGGCAGTATTTGAGGCTTTCCTGCTGCCTTGGAAAGGACTATGCACTTGTCACTTTTTTTAATGTCTTGAAGCTTGGATGGGATCTGAACACGAACTTGAGATCTAGTGTAGTCTGCCTCTAAACCCTAGTTTAGCAGGATGGTTGATCACCTAGTTCAGAGTGCTCATTCCTGCCTCCTGAATACTAATATTATGCTTCTGTCCAGATGCAACCAGGGAAATGGTCTCTGGTAAGATGGACTGCTTCGTTCTTCAACAGGTGTGGCATGTCCTTCAGATCTTAAGAAAATTTCTTCAGCTTCAATCCATTCTGCTAAAGTGAAACACCAAATGTGAAAATAAGTGCCCCCAGTTTCTCTGATGCTGTGTGACTGCATCAGCTGCCGTGGCACCGGCATAGTCTGGCAAACCTTGCATAATTTGATAGACATTCAATATTAGTTTTACGTGGGGCTTCCTTTCCTATAAGCAAAGCTCTGTAACAGTCGCCTTGTTTAGGATGGCAGTCTCCTGCTGCCTGTCATTTGATCGTTGGGGTGGTAAATCAGCATGCCAGAGGAAATGCCTCCTTTGCTTCTACGTCATAGGAAGTCAGGAGTACAGATTTTCTAAACATTAAGAGGATGAAAGTTTTGAGCTTGTTCCTTTGCTTCCTTACAGTTTTGTGTAGTGAATCATCAAGATTTATTTACTTGCTACAAATAAATGCAGTGCAGATTCAAGTTAAGTCAAGTAAAATCTTTGTCTTCACCTCTTCTCCCCCAGCCCCCAGAAAGGACCATGGTCTAGATGGCAGAAGCCTAAAGTATTTTCTCTTCTTCCCTCTTAGCAAAATAATTATGCTGTCCTTGGTGAAGCAGACAGTTTTCCAGAAATGACCTGGTCTTCTGTGGTTTTACTCTGAAAACCATGAACTTGGCTGATGATCTGGACCCTTGTTGAAACCTGACTATCATCTCTGGGTCTGCCCTGCTTGCCTTGCCTAGGAAACGTGGGATGGGGCCCTGGCTGGCAAGGAACCTGTCCTGATGGCCTTATTACTGTGCTCTACTCTCTGTCCCTGAGAGAGCAGCCAGCCTTAGGTGCTCCCTGACACTGTGCTTGGTTGGGATCTTTTTTGTTATGCTTGAAGATAGCTCGTCGTACTGGCTTAGGATTTTTCTGCTGGCAGATTCGGCGTCCAGAGCAGTTCAGATATCATCTGTATAGGCAATGATTTTATACAGCAGTATTTTCGTGATTCTTGTTCTGCACAGCTCTGCACTGAGGCTCTGTTCAGGAGCTCAGAACGTTTTTTCTCTCTCTGTATTTTTTTTGCTCCTGACCTCTATTTAGAGCAATATTTGCAAAATCCGCTCATTAGCACATTGACAATGGCTCTATGATCCACTTTGCCTCCCTGTAGCCTCTGTACCAGCCTTTCTGTCCCTTTTCAGAAATACTTGTCACAAGGCAGTGGTTCAGCATGTGTCCTGTTGTTAGGTGACACTATGGAAGTCCTGTTGATGTATGCCTGCAGCTAAAGGTTCTGCTGCAGCTGTCTCCTTGTGCAAGGACTACATGAATTAAACTCAGACATGCAGAAAAAAATCAAATTTAGAAGAATGGTAGTAGCAAACTGCAGGCAGTTCAGGAAGGAAATTGGTTTGTGTTATGTAACTTACTACATGCTTCCTTCTATTCAATAATTAGAGTGGAATGCCACTGATAACTCTGATTTGTGGCTAGCTGAGATCAGCTTCATGTACTTCTCGTCACCCTGTGCGTGGCCTTCTGTGAATTGACCAGGGTGATGCCAACAACTTTAGACCATCTTCATCACAGAGGGATGTCTCTCTTTCCATACGATGTTATGTGAACTCTCTGACCTAACATCATAAGTCATGATCCATTCATTAACTTTTACAGAGTAGTCATACACTACTTTGTGAGTAGGGCTTATTTTCCTCCAGACAAGTTCGTGACACTAAGACTTGGTTGAACATGTAATATTGCAGTGAAACCTCATGTCTGTTTCACATCTGTCCACATGGAGGCCTGTACTCTTCATGACAATCTACTAGACTTAGAAATCTGTTTCCACATTTTCTGTATGTCATTGCATTTGCTGCCTAACTGCTGTTACACAGTTCTTAAATGTTTCTGTTCTGTGGTTGTCCAATCATATCCATGTCTGAGGAGAAATGCCTCTTCATTCCCCTCTGCTAAATGATGGTCACAGATGGAGTGAGAGGGAGGCAAAAAAAATATAGTTTATTGGTGTAAAGCAGTAAGTTAACAAGGTTCAGTGGTAAATGTGACAGTAGTTTATAAGATTCAATCATAATCATAATCATAAAATGGTTTGGGTTGGAAGGGACCTTAAAGATCACGTGGCTCCAACCCCCCTGCCATGGGCAGGGACACCTTCCACCAGACCAGGTTGCTCAAAGCCCCATCCAACCTGGCCTTGAGTACTTCCAGTGATGCGGCATCCACAACTTCTCTGGGCAACCTGTTCCAGTGCCTCACCACCCTTGTAGTGAAGAATTTCTTCCTTAGATCTAATCTAAATCTGCCATCTTTCAGTTTAAAGCCATTGCCCCTTGTGCTATCACTGCATGCCCTTGTAAAAAGTCCCACTCCAGCTTTCTTGTACTTTCTTCAGGTAATGGAAGGCTGCTATAAGGTCTCCCTGGACCATCTTCTGGTCACAAAGGTTTGCGCATCACTTTATGTTGAATCGGATCACCATGTTCTTACTGCCAGTAGGTTTCTGATGAGTTCCAAACCTGACTGATTCAAGGGGTTTCAAGTTCATGCTTCAGGCCTTCATGAGTGCACTTAAACCACTGTTCTCCTACCTCCTTTCCTCCTGTCTGGGAGGGTTGGCAGCTTATCAGAAGAAGGGGCTCATGTTTGTATCTTTTTATAAAAAGACTCATTTTCCTTTATGCTTACCTCCATTTATTTCTTAATTTTGTATCAAAGTTTTATGTCAGCCATGAAATTAATGCAATATTCTTCACTACCTTCAAGCATCTAGAAGTTTGTCTGTACTTCACAACCTAAAAGTCTGAAGGACTTTTCTAGACGTTTGTAGAACGTATGTAGTATTAAACAGTAAACTCTTGTTCTGATGATTATATAAGTGGTCATTTGCATATACTATACTATGCTTTGTCATATATTAAAGTGTTACCTCAACTTCTTAATGGCGTGAAAAAAAGAGGGCTCTTTTGAAGAGGCCTTTTCAGCTTCCAGCTGAAATGAACTTTAAGTAGTCATTGAAAGTGAAAGTCTTTACTTTTTTCCGAGTTTGGTAATATATTCTGGTATTACTGTGGTATACATTTGGCTTCTAGGTCCACTTCCTTTCAGTCTAATAAGGACGGTATCTCCTGCAGCAGTCAAATAACTGGAAGGTTTCTTTGTTCCTCAAGGGAGCAGGCAGGAGCATCACAAGGTTTTCAAACTATAGGACACAGAACTAACATTCATTGATTTCTATGATGCGATTTGTGGTTCTTACCACTTGGATCTGTTATTCCTGGCTGTCTGCAGACTTGGGCAGTCATTTCATGTCAGTTAAACTCAGTGTGTATTACCTAGTTTTCAGGTAAAGGAACAAAATTCTCTGAATAGCAGAATGTCTTTTCCTGGAAGTTTAAGACTTAAAATTGGAAATCCAGTGATACAGGTATTATTTACTTGTTATTCAGAGAGGACAGGCACGAACAGAGGCAATTATGCATAACGCTTTCTTTTGCCATTCTTAGAAATGCAAGGGACTACATCTGTTTGGAACTTTGAGGAAATTCAGATGTGGATGCAAAACTCACAGTTCAATCTCTAAGGCTGCAAAACTAGAATAGCAAATTAGGGAATTTGTATTCAGAGCTCAGCTCTGCTACTTAGATCTATGTCTATTTAAAAGTGATTTGTGAATACCTAAAAAAATATCTAAGAACTTTGAGGAAAAAGGGAGGTACTGAGTACTTCAAAATTGCAAAGGTAAGAGAGATTTGACACATAAAAGTACATTTCAATCAATTTATATTTGTTTTCGTCTTTTCAGAGCTTCCCTTTCAAACTACTCTGGCTCTCACTCTGACACTTTCTACATAAACTGTTCTGCTGATGTAACATCTGCAACAGAACTGCATAGGAACATGGTATCAGCTCACTGCAATTTGCATAGAAGTGCAAATTCGTTACGTTTAAAGAAGTTATAAAATTAAAATACTTAAAACCATGTGGTTTGGTGATACTGAATTGGAAACAGCTCGCAGTCTTTTATCGTCTGCCTGTGCTCAAATCAGAGTTCCCTGGTTGATGTGACATGATTATATGTTATGATTACACGTGTTAACCTTTCAAAATAAAATGTTCAGTTTCTTCTTTTAAATACCAAATGCTTATAGGTATAATACTTGCTGATATTTGTTCACTGACAGTCTCACTTGTTTTCAAACCCCACATATTTAAAGTTGTGGAGTGTTAGATTGATGTTTCTTTTCACTCAAATGTCATATTCATCAACTGTATTGTGCTAGCAGATTGTTAAACAGACAAGGTGACTTGCAGAGTGACAGTGTAGTGATGTGATGTCCCAAACCATTAAAATATAGTAATGACGTGGGTTTTTCCTTTTGTTCAATCAGGTTTTGCAACACAGTGATTTTTCTGTAAAACACGGGTGAGAAGGTTTCTGAGTAGATCTGTTGCTTGGAAAAAAATCCTTGTTAATGAATAACAAAACCTGGAATTCAGTTGCAGCTTCCCAGATAATTGAGAAGTGCCAAAGATTTAGGAAGAACTAATGTAACAGTATTTTATAATGGGGAAAATATACATTATGCTATGACAAAAGTGAAATTACTTGTTATGTTATACTTTTGTACATAATCAGTTTTGCAGGATCATTTTTAAAGCAATAGTAAAAGTTATTTTGTGATTTTGCTTGAACAGCCTCCCAAGAATCCCACAAAAAAGGAAGGAACTTCTGCTTAACATTGTATCAACTCAAGTGTCTTTCTCAACTTATCAAACTCTTTTTATTAATGGAAGAAAAAATTGAAGAGCTCTCCACAGAAATTCTGTTGGTGCCTTCATTTACAGAGAAGAATAAGAGTGTTCAAGGTAATGAATGCTTTTCCATATTTATTGATTCTGCTTTGAGAAAAAGGATAATTTTATATGATTTTCAACATTATTTACCTAATTTATGTCATTGTGTTTTATAAACAAGTTTATTACCATATCCACGGAAAATCTTTTTGAAATATGTGGATTTACATTTGAGCAAAATGACTTGTGGAAAAGAACTGATAATTGTGCGTAAAGATGTGATGTACAGTAGTTATTGATGGAGAATCATTAAAAAACCCCCTATCAAACACTGTAATATAATATCTCCTATTGAATTATCTATAAAATCCCATGTTTTGTGTAGGACAAAACAATACATGGAGTCTGAGTTCTTTAAAACTGTGATTGTTCCTGAACTTGTCCTTGAAAGCTGCCTTTTTCAAGAGAGAAAAACACTGACTTGAACAATTAATTAATCTCAGTATACATGCAATGATATGTTTTAGTAAGTAAACTGCTTCACGATCAAGCCTCAAGTCTGCATTTGCTTTTGATTCCAAGCTCACTCTCTTTTTCATCTAATTTCATTCACGTCATATGAGGAGAACCTGAAATCCCAAAAATGCAGGTGAATAACACCTTCCTGGTCACAGTATGTTCATAAATGTTCTTCTACTCTGCTACTTCTGCCAGTAGAGAGATTCCAGGTCACCAGAGAGCAAGTGGTTTCAAGAGCTTTGATTATATTGCAGGAAAGGATCAGACGAGAAATGAGGCCAGGCTGCTTAGGGAGAGAGGGTAGGTGGAGTCAAATATTTGATATCTCTGTAGTCAAGCTGCAGGCAGAGAAGAAAGGTGTTTTGGGAATGTGGTCTCAGAATGCTAAATTGATAAAAAATAAAAAAAAGATTAAATAAGAGTTCTGAGGCACACATGTTGTTGATGGATTCTTCATCTGAAGTACTGACACTCTGAAATAAAGAAATACAGGTTAACCTATCTATTTTTAGAATCTTTGTCAAAGCTCAAATAAAGTTTGCATTCGGGTTCCATTTTTGCTATTGGTTTCAGTGTATTTCTGCCTCCTTTAATCTCTCAGTTTTACTAGTTTTCAAGAAATGTTAAGCTATTATGCACTATGTTTTCCATTTTACGGCCTTGATCCTACAAAGAGGTGTTACAGTAAACTTCTCAAAGGGTAATGTGGATAGGAAATACATTCAGTAAAGGTAATTTTAAGTGTTCTTTTTATTTGTATATTCTGTGAGAAAAGGTAAAAAAAATTAAAACTCTTGAATGGGAAATTTATTTGACATTTTTAATTAACTAATTCAGAAAACTTAAGGATTTCAACGTTAACAAGAAATGTTTTACTTTCCAGGAAGTGTGTCTAGGACTTTATCCTGCAGGCATTTCTCCAAGCTTAATTACATTCAGAACTGTTCCTCAAAAGTGTATTAAGCCTTCTTCTTTGAGGAATATTCTTTTAGATTAATCATGTTTATAGCAAGTAGGTTCTTAAATGGTGCCTCCACTTAATCAAATCTGGGTGGGGAATATTACTAGATCTTGTTGTAGGAGGCAGTCTTTTGGGTAGAAGGCCTGTTCTAAAGAAAACGTAAAATGACTTTTACCCTGAAACACAGGTGAAGGTAAATCTTTTACAGGTCTTGTTAGTGAGATTATCAACATACGTTTGTCTTAAGTGTTGCCGTTCACGATCAGGTGGTTTTACTCACAAAACTTTGCTCAGTTGTATCAGTTTCTAGAGAATACATGAGAGAGACATGGCCAAAGAAACTGGGAAAAAAAAAAAAAGTCTGGCTAGAAGAAGGGTTTATTGGTGTTATTTTCACTTCATATTGTCAGAAATCTCAGTTGTAGTGATGAAGTGAAAGATGATTTGATATGGGAGAATGAGAGCTATGTTCCCAGTAGTTCCAGGTTCTGTTAAGTACCAAAAGGGATTTAAGATTTTCTCTGTTAATGTCCTATATTGGGCTGATAATCTTATTTTTTTCACTGATGAAGGCTGAGTTTTGATAAGAAGGATTTATTAGAATCCTTCCCTTTTTTTCACCAGAACACATTATAATATGTGACTAGAAAATATAATGGCCATCTTCTGTACTTATTTAGAAGCCTTCTTACCAGAAATCTTGTTTAATTTAAAAAAATATAGAGTGCAGATCTGTTTAAAACAGCTTTAAATTCACTCAGGTACCAGCATCAGGTTGACAATGCAGCACAGGCTGCAGAACCAGCCTAAGAAGCAGAGTGAATTAGCCCAGATTGAACCGTGCGCTGCTGTTGCTAGACAGTTACCCGTACTCTCTCTCACTGGTTTAAAACCAGGTTGGGTGTATCCAAACTACCCTGCAGGCACTGCAGTGTGGGCATGTCTGAAGTATCCATCCTCTGCAAGTAGTACTGCTGGTAAATTAAGGGAAGCCAGCCAATTCATGAAAGGTAGGCTAATATCCAAGTGAGCTAAAGTTTCCCTAGGCATCACATAGATCGGAACCTTGCACTTGCTTCCTTTTCCTTTTGGTTGCTTTTAGTATTCACGGGAGCCTTTTTATCTGTGTAACTCATGCAGAGATGCAACAAAAATAATGTTTTTTCATGTGCTTGTGTCAAGTGTTGCGTTTATGTGTATAGCTGTTTCAATGGCAGTTTTAGTTGATTTTTGTTCAGCATATCCCATAGTACTTCAATCTTGATATATAGAACATGTGTAAAGTTCCATCAGAAACAAAGTAGTTCTTTGGATGGTTCCTCTTTTTAAATTTTTTTTTGTCCCAAAGATGGCATCTGAGTTTTATCTAAACCAGACGGTTTCTTGGCCCTCATTTTTCCCTAAACCCAGCGATGACAAAGAGCAATGGCTGCATAAATTGGATGTAAGAAGAACACTTAGGGTTTATCACAGAAGAATCAAAGATTTCGTATCTTCTGACAGATTGTTTGTACTCTTAGGGGGTCTTAAGAGGGGTCAAATGGCTTCTAAGAGTTCCTTAGCTAGATGGTTAAGGGATTGTATTAGGGAGGCGTATGTAGTTAAGGGTAAAGAGGCTCCCAGGGTTTGTAAAGCTCATTACACTAGGACTATAGCTGCTTCTTGGGCGGAGAGGTCGAAGGCTTCCACATTGGAAATTTGCAAGGTGGCCACCTGGGCTTCTCTTCATACTTTTTCATTGCATTATCGCTTGGATGTAGTCTCTTCTGCGGATTCTGCTTTTGGTAGGAGGTTGCTTGTGAACCAAAAAAAGAACAGTGAAGAAAAGAAAGACATGTAGTTCACAGTTCTAGCTGGCAACAAGACAAGTTTCTTTGCAGTGTGCACAATGGAATCCTATGAAGACCAATTTAGGTGGTTGAAAATAGATGTTAGAGGGAAGTACTGCCTACCAGTGTTCTCTGATGGTAACCCCATGGCAGACAATAGCACCAAAGGAAACAGTGAACCAGAGTGAACTCTGTAGGGAGATGGATGTAGAGAGTTTTTTTAGGTGATACGGATAGTTCTCTGAGTTCAGTTTGAGAGTTCTGTATCCAGCATCTTCTGGAATATATTCAGAATCCTCATTTTCCCAAATTGTTTTGCATAGATTGAGAAAAAATTTCTGTGAATTGCGTTTTCCACTCTAACTTCTTTTCACTATTCTCCATCTAGCTCTTCCTGATTTTATTTTTTGTCTTTCCTTAACCAGACCTAACTTAGCATGTATTCCTCAATGAGCACTACACACATGCCAAGTTTTGCACTTGATTTCAAATTATATTTACATTATCTAAGCACAATTTTTAAAAAGGTAATATAAATGCACGTTTTATCTACTACCAGTGTAGTGTTCAAGTTTTCTCTTAAATCAGATAAAAGGAGAAAATAATGAAAAGTTCTTGGGCAAATATATGATGATGTGATTTTGTTCCATCCCTGAACTTTAGTGCAGCATCTGGGCAAGACTGCTACTCTACCTTTCTGAGGAAAAGTATCCATGTTTTTCTGAGATTTACAGAAAATTTATTCTCAGTGTTGCATAACCTTGCTTCATTCCACTACAAGCAGTAGGTTTCAGAAAATTAAAGAAGTAATCACCTTCTATTTTTTCTTGACTACACATTTAACCCTTTCTTCTGCAGGTATCTTGCCATGCCCACCATAATGAGGTAGTCTGCTTCTCTATCTGCATTCAGTTGAAATTCCTGAGGTGTTCTGACATACCTAGTACGTGCAGCATCACAGGGGTTGTTCTCTTTGAAGGAATCTGGAACATTCAGCTTCAGTCAAGGGTTAAGCAGGAGATTTTGGTTTAGAATCCTACCAAATTGCATTCTCTTCCTATCTTTAAGGTAGATTTCTCTTCCCTCTGGCTTTTCAGAAGCCTCTTGTTGAGACTTTTAAAAAATCAAAAACATCTAACGTACTTTCATCTGTCTCTCACTTTTTTTTTTTTCCATTCCAGTGAGAAAGGTGAACTTTGGACAGATCAGATAATGAGTACCAAGAAAAGCTTTTTCCAATGGAGCTCTTTGAAAACACTGTGGGCAAAGTTGTCAAGCCCTTAGGTTTACAAGCTTTGCCTCAGGGGACTGGAAAGATTTGCAAAGATCTTTCCTTCACAGCATAAGAAAAAAATCCTTTACTCTATATCCATTTCTGGAAAGTGTAATGAAAGGAGTATGGAATCAAATTCATGAGGTGTATCCTATTAATAGACTTTGAAGTTGTAAAGATTCAAGAAGGACAGGTGTGATTTTTGCTATGGTCTTAAAGCAAGATGTTCAAGTAGCTTCCTTAAGGAATACATAGCTTCAACAGATCGATCCAAAGTAAAGATGGAATTTACACTAGGAGGGAGTTTGATTTCAGATGTACGTCTTCTGTATTTGTGTTATTACAGTTTGCTCACTATAGTACAACAAATAAAAAGTCCATTACTGAAGACAGAAAGCAGGAGGGTTTTTAATCTACAGCTAGTCAATTTTTTTTTTTCTTCTGCTTATTTATATTTGTGAGGGAGTGGTATTTCCCATTTCTGCAAGAC